CCCAATGATGTAGCACTGTATAATTAGGTTAATAGATATTTTAATACCTACTATGGGCACGCACCAGGACTTCCCTGGTGGCTCAGATGGTAAAGTGTCTGTCTACAATGCGGGAGACCAGGGTTCAATCCTGGGTCGGGAAGATCCCCTGGAGAAGGATCTTCTGATAATAGCCACTCCAGGGCTATTATCAGGAAAATCCCATGGATGAGGAGCCTGGTAGGCTACAGTCCATGGGGTTGCAAAGAGTCTGACATGACTGAACAACTACACTTTCTTTCTTTTTTTCTGGGCACACACTGTGCTGGATGTGGGAGGCACAAAAATGGATTATGCTAGCACCTGTATTATATGCTAGCACCTGTATTATATTAGCCTTTAGGGATTTTTCAGGATACTTTTGTATCTGTTACCTTGTTTGAGCACATGAGGGTAAAGTGACTACCGAGACTGGGAAGATAAAATAATGTGTCTTTCTGCTCTTCAAACCTTTGATTCTCATAATATTCACTGCAATAATTCTGTTCTAAAGTCTCGACTTTCAAGAAATGCCTTTGTCTTGTCCTGATAGCTGTGTACTGCTGCTGTGTGTGCTGCTTGGTCGCTCAGTTGTGTCTGACTCTTTGTGACCCCAGGGACTGTAGCCCACTAGGCTTCTCTGTCCATGGGATTCTCCAGGCAAGAGTACTGGAGTGGGTAGCCATTCCCTTCTCCAAAGGATCTTCCCAAACCAGGGACTGAACCCGTCTCCTGCATTGCAGGCAGATTCTTTACTTTCTGAGCCCCCAGAGAAGCCCCTGTTCTGATTGCCCCACCCACAGGGATTAATACCTGGAGAAATTCCCTTTGCTCAAAATGATTAATTTATAATCACTTGATTATATCTTAATATAAGGAACCTAAAATGAGAAAAGATCAAGTAGAGATACTTTCCCCCTTGCTATTCAACAATATTCCTTAAATAGTAGATACTAGGCAACTGAAATCATACGGAATTTATTGAGGGCAAGTCTGACAAGGTACTTTGTTATCCTAGACATTGAAGAGCTATAAAGGTACATAGTTCAGTTCAGTTCAGCCGCTCAGTCGTGTCCGACTCTTTGCGACCCCATGAATCGCAGCACGCCAGGCCTCCCTGTCCGTCACCAACTCCATTCAAACCCATGTCCATCGAGTTGGTGATGCCATCCAGCCATCTCATCCTCTGTCGTCCCCTTCTCCTCTTGACCCTAATCCTTCCTAGCATTAGGGTCTTTTTCAGTGAGTCAGCTCTTTGCATGAGGTGGCCAAAGTATTGGAGTTTCACCTTCAACATCAGTCCTTCCAGTGAACACCCAGGACTGATCTCCTTTAGGATGGACTGGTTGGATCTCCTTGTAGTCCAAGGGACTCTCAAGAGTCTTCCTACTTTTGCCTTCCAGTCTCCTATAATGATAAGGACATCTTTTTTGGGTGTTAGTTCTTAAAGTTCTTGTAGGTCTTCATAGAACTGTTCAACTTAGGCTTCTTCAGCATTACTGCTGGGGCATAGGCTTGGATTACCATGATATTGAATGGTTTGCCTTGGAAACGAAGAGAGATCATTGTGTCATTTTTGAGATTGCATCCAAGTACTGCATTTTGGACTCTTTTGTTGACCATGATGGCTATGCCATTTCTTCTAAGGGATTCCTGCCCACAGTAGTAGATATAATGGTCATCTGAGTTAAATTCACCCATTCCAGTCCATCTTAGTTTGCTGATTCCTAGAATGTTGATGTTCACTCTTGCCATCTCCTGTTTGACCACTTCCAATTTGCCTTGATTCATGGACCTAACATTCCAGGTTCCTATGCAATGTTTCTCTTTACAGCATTGGACCTTGCTTCTGTCACCAGTCACATCCACAACTGGGTGTTGTTTTTGCTTTGGCTCCATCCCTTCATTCTTTCTGGAGTTATTTTTCTACTGATCTCCAGTAGCATATTGGGTACCTACCGACCTAGGTAGTTCATCTTTCAGTGTCCTATCTTTTTGCCTTTTCATACTGTTCGTGGGGTTCTCAAGGTGAGAATACTGAAGTGGTTTGCCATTCCCTTCTCCAGTGGACCACATTCTGTCAGACCTCTCCACCATGACCGGGCCGTCTTGGGTGGCCCCACACGGCGTTGTGAGAGGGCATCAGAGGGCAGACGCACTGAAACCATAATCGCAGAAAACTAGCCAATCTGATCACATGGGCCACAGCCTTGTCTAACTCAATAAAGGTACATAAGATGCAGCTTATGCCCTCAAAGATCTAACACATTGGTGGTGGTGGTAGTGTCTGTGTGTGGAGGGAAAGTGTTAAGGAGGTAAAACCATATACAACGACCATGTAAACATAAAGACCCCATACCCAGAGAGGAAGCCTAAGGCAGGAAGGGCTACTTTGGGTTGATTACGGCAATGAAAAACAAATTGTATTATTATGATAATAGAGCTGCTGCTATAAAACTAATCCCAAAATGTGCAATGGGTCAAACACAGCAAAAGGTTTTTTCTCTGTCATTAAAAGTTAAAAACAAGTGTTCCTGATTGGTGATTAATTCTACTCCAAATGGTGATTCAGAGATTCAGATCCTTCGAACTTGTAGGCCCACCATTTTTAACATGTGACTTCTAGGATTGTGGGGCTTGTCCACATTAAACTGGCAGAAGGGGAAGGAACAGGGAGGATGGGAAGCTTTAATGGCCATATCTAAAAAGAGTATGCATTATCTCCACTAGAGTTCCACTGGCTAGAACTCCACATGACCACAGCGAACGTCATGGGAGGCTAAGAAATGTAGTTCAGCTGTGTGTCCAGGAAAAGATGCATTTATTGACTGTTAGCAATCTTTGCCACAAGATTCATGATGGCGGGACATTTTAGATAGGTTTTGAAGCAACGTGAAGTATTCTGAGAGACTGGAAAGGAGGATTAATCCATGCAACATGAGAAGCAGGAAGAAGGACTCAGAAATCAACAACAAAAATGCAATAGCATATTTGAAAAATAAGAAATGATTGGGACTTCCCTGTTGATCCAGTGATTAAGACTCTGTGCTTCCACAGCAGGGGCTCCAGTTTGATCCCTGGTTGGGGAACTAAGATCCCGCATGCTGCGTGGTGACCACCACCCCCCAAAAATAAAAGAAAAAAGAGAGTTCAGCTTTTGTAAAGGAACATATGGGAGGGGTCATGAGAGAAAGTATTGGAAAGGCAGACTGAGGCTATTTCCAACCTGAAGCCACATTGTGAGAGGTTTTGAAATCCACAATGAGGAGCCTGTATCTACCATGTTTCTTTGTTTTCCAGTGTTTTCCTTTTTTTGCTATGAGAGCTCACTCCCAGTTTTAGGGAAATTTTGGCCCAGATTCACTTTCTTTCTTTTCCTTCTGGTCTTTCCTAGAAAGTGAGGTTTATTTGTCTCCAGCATGTGATGGTGGGAGTCAAGAAGAGGGGAGCAGACCCTCAGCATGAGCAGCTTCAGTTTTAGCTTTTGTACCAGAGAGTTTCAGAGACTCCACCAGGACCTCCTGCCAAAAAGAGGCCAGGCTCCTCCAGTCAGCCTGGTATCTGCTGAATGCTATGTTTGGGATGGATCCCAAGTTCAGTAGAAAGAGCAGGGAGGGGAATTCCTTTCTGACTTTAGGACACAATCAACTCATGCTTGGGATCCCGGAATTTAATTACCCATATTGTTATCTTAGCTTGCATAACTGCAACTGTGGCTCATAATTATAAAAGTATCCAGTCCTTTAAAATCCAGCCTCAGCTTTTAGCCTAATGACCTCCTAAGAGTGATTAACTGAAAGGGTGGAGTTGGGGAAATCCTTTCTCCTCCCTTAAGTTCTGCCAACTTGGCTTTGAACCAACAAGAAAGCTTTAACCAGAGAATATATATCTCACACCCTCTAGCCTTTCTCTTACCCTCACCTCTGCCCCATATTGCATTCTATTTTGTGGTCATAAACATTCATTTTAGCTAAATTAATTTTGAGCCAGCCTTTACTGTGAACTGCCTCTGAAAGCTTCTGTGTGAATGATTTCTCCTTTGTTGAACTTCTGACCGTGAAATTAATGGCTTTGAAAACTTTTTCTCTCCAGTTTGGGGAGGATTTATTTCACTATTCCTACCAGGATGTAAGCATGATTATATATTTTTCTTGGAATATTTTGAGAATAAGAGAAAATCAACATTTCTAGCAGCTCATAGAAAGACTGTTCCAGTTCTATTGGCTCAGTTGGTAAAGAATCTGCCTGCAATGCAGGAAACCCAGGGGTCAGGAATATCCCCTGGAGAAGAAGGAGATGGCAACCCACTTGAGTAATCTTGCTTGGAAAATCCCATGGATAGAGGAGCCTGGTGGGCTACAGTCCATGGGTTTGCAAGAGTCAGACACAATTTAGTAACTAAACCACCAAAGTGTGTGTGTGGGGGGGGCGGGCGGGGGCTTGGTAAAGCTAAGCAGTGAACCACAGTGTCTACTATTTTCTAGGAGCTGAATTGCTGGTTCATGGGATGTGTATATATTCATCTTTAGTATGTGCGTGCTAAGTCACTTCAGTCATATCTGACTGTGCAATCCTATGGACTATAGCCTGCCAGGATCCTCTGTCCTTGGGATTCTCCAGGGAAGAATACTGGAGTGGGTTGCCATGCCCTCCTCATATTCATCTTTAGTAGATAATGTCAAACAGCATTCCAAAATGTTTGCACCCAAATACCACCTTAATTTAGATTCTCAGATCCCCAGTTGGATCTTACCACAAAGGTTAAGGAATATATATAAAAGGGAAACATAAATGTGAGAATATGCTATCCATAAACTTTCACCTATGGCTTCACATCTTGAAAACTGTCCACAATGTTCAGGGTGTTCTAAAATCTAGTTTATGGCATAAACAAATCTTAAAGATTTGCTTTTGTGCTGCAAAAGAAAAAAAAAAGAAAGGAGAAATATGGATTGATTGTTGCCTTAAATTCTGTTTTTCAGAGTGGCCAAATCAATGAAGGTGCCTGTGTATGAGACCCCAGCTGGATGGAGATTCTTCTCAAATCTGATGGACTCGGGCCGGTGCTCTCTGTGTGGAGAAGAGAGCTTTGGCACTGGTAGGCTTTATTGGGTTGGTATTACTGGAGAGGGTGGCTGCAGCACTCAATGACCCCAGTTTGGAAACCTGTGAATCCACTGTGAATCAAAGGCTGGAGAAGGAGTTAGAGGCAAAAAAAAAAAAAAAATTAGAATAAACCTAGTGGGATACATGCTATGACACACTCACATCTTCTGCCCATTTTTCCTTCTTTTTAAAAATTTCCCTTTCTTTCAAAACTTTCTGTTTTGGAAATTAAAAAAACATATGTACATATATCTTATCTTTTGGCTTGCATAGTTCCCAAGAAAAGTGAAAGTGAAAGTTGCTCAGTCTTGTCCGACTCTTTGCGACTCCATGGACTCAGTCCATGGAATTCTCCAGGCCAGAATACTGAAGAGGGTAGCCTTTCCCTTCTCCAGGGGATCTTCCCAACCCAGGGATTGAACCCGGGTCTCCCGCATTGCAGGCGGATTCTTTACCAGCTGAGTCACAAAGGGAAGCCCATAGTTCCCAAGAAGTCAGCTCTAATTACTGCTGTTGCTCTGTATTCAAATTTCCCCTACCTCCCACTTCTGTCTGCCTTTAATATTTTCTTTTTATCTTTTGTTTATAACAGTTTAATTATAGTATATCTAGGTACATGTATATTTAAAATTCTTCTTGGGGTTCTTTGGGATGCCTGTATCTGTTGTTTGTTGTCTTTCATTAATTTTAGAAAATTCTCAGCCATTATCCTTTTTAATATCTCTTGTTCCCTATTCTGTCATCTCCTCTGAGGCTCCAGTTACTTGTATGTTAGATAATTTGTGTCCATATGTTTGTCTCAGAGCTTTTACAAGCACTATTTGGTTTTGTTTACTCTTTTTTCTTTTTGTGTTTCAGTTTAGATAATCTTTATTGGCATATTACTGATTCTTTACTGAGCTGTGTCCAGTCTTTTGCTGAGCCTAGTGAAGCATTTCTTCATCTCTGATACTGTGTTTTTTATTTCTAGCATTTCTTTTTGAATCTTCTTAAATAATTTTCATCTCTTTGATGCATTTATTGATCTGTTTATGTCTGCTGTTTTTCTTTTCCATTAGATTACTGAACATGTTAAACATAGTTATTATAAACTTTCTGACTGATAATTCCAATATCTGGTTCTTTTCTGGTTCTGGTTCTCTTGATTTCTTTGTCTGTTGATAAAGCAGTGGTTTACTCGTTCTTGGTTTTTGTATATCCTGTAATTTTTCATTTAATGCTGGACTGTATGTGTATAAGAACAGTAGAAACTAATTAATATTTACACAAAGAAAAGGGTGTCTCTTTCTATCAGAGCATTAGTGTGCAATTAAAGAGTTAAATGTAATTAACTCTTGAGCCGTGTTTGAGTTTCATTGTTTCTGTTATAATCTTTAGTGTGTTACAGGCTTCAAATTCTCCCAGGCGTGGGATATTTTTACTGTGTAATGAAAGTGAGGATGGGTTATAAAGGAGATTTTTCAGTGTTTCTGTTCATCCACAGCTTTCAGCAGTTACTGCATGTAGGTGACACAAAATAGACCTCTAATCACCAAGCACTTGACCCTTCCTTAATGGTAGCAGACCTCTGCTTAGTATTGGTATAGAATTCTGGGCCCAAGATTTCCTACCCTTTCCCTAAGGTTTTTTACTCCAATTCTTATTTCAGTAGCAGCAAATCTTGCCTGGGTCCTAAGCACAAGAAGGTTTGCAGCTCATTCATCCAGGAACTTTAGGCTTTCATTTTCTATGAAAGAAATGTTTGGGGAACGAGAAGGGTTTCATGCTTATCTCTTGGCCGAAGTTGATTATCTCTTGCATACCAGCAGTAACAAGTCTCTTTTTCCAGCCTTTCCTGAGTACCCAGTGGAACCTATGGGAAAGAACTTGGAAGTGTGCCCCTTATATCTGGGACTCCAGGCAATTTTAAAGTAACATGATAAAAGCTATACTTGGCCCTTGCAAATTTTTAAAACTCTTATGTGACTTCTTATTATTCACTTGTATGGAAGCATCTGCTTTGCCCTGTACTCTGCCAGAGATGAGATGGTTTTATGTCCTATCTTTCCTTGAAGGGGCTTGAGACTCTTTGGAATCCACTTTATTGCCTATGACATCAGATCTCTAATCAGTTCCCAAAAAGTTGTGATTCTGCAGATTTCCTAATCTTTTCTTATTACTGCAATGAGTGTGGCAGGCACTGTCTTGTAGATTTTTACAATTAGGATCCAAATGACCTTACATTGTAGCTGGTTAATATCTCTCTTAAGTCTCTTTTAATCTGCATTTATTTCCTCTATATTTTCTCTTTCTAATTTATCCATTGAAGAAACTGGGTCATATGTCCTATAGAGCTGTTAATAGCTTTGATTTTAATGTTCCTTTCCAATTTGTTTAGTGTTACATAAAGAGAAACTATTAATAATTTTTTTTTTCTGGTTTGCAGCCATGATAATGGATTCTGTTATTAACTATGGTATTTTCTTTTGTAACACTTCTACATTTTTGGCATTCATTTTAGATATACAGTCTTATAATTTACAATTAAAAGATTTTTTATATGTTTTCTACTATTTAGGCCTTCTATTTTATATTCTTATATTATTGCATTAGCTACAATATTAAAAATAATATTAAAAAGCAATTGTGATAGCTCATGATTTTAAGGGAAATTAATTCAGTATTTTACCATCTGTTTTAATGATTGCTTTTTAATGTTAGTAAAATCCTTGTCATGCTTATGTAGTACCCCCTCCATTCTCATATTACTTAGAATCATATAATAAATGGCTGCTGGAAGATGCCCTTTCAGAATCAAGTGACATATTAGTGTTTTTTTCTCCTTTGTTATGTGAATGTAATGAAATATCATGATTGATTTGCTGATATCAAACCACCCTTGAATTCCTAACCAAAGTCTTATTTGGTTGTGATTAAACAGGTTGTAGTAAAGACACTTTCACTGGTCATAATGACAGCATTTTAGGCTATGTTGGAGTTCCTGAAGGAATTTCCTCCTGAGAAATTTTCTCCTTTTAGCAAAATTAGTTAGATTCTAACAGCATTAATGGTACAAAAGGGTTGGCAGGCATCTTTGTCTCCTGGAAAAGGAGAGACTGTATTAAGCTCTTTCAATGATTATGTTTGATATCAGAATGTGTGGCTGACAGGTCTGCTTAGGACAGTTAAAACTGTTACATTTTTTCTCTGCTGATGCTTTGAAAAATAGGTGTTCTGTATGTCTAAACCAGTGACTGTGACTCAAAAAACTCAGGAATTGTATATTGTATATAACAATTCTTCCTACTGTGTTATTAAAATAACACAAATCTAGCAACTGGGATAGAACTGGTAAGTTCAGATTATTTCCTTTCTCTCTCTGTCTTTATAAACAATTTACTTAGTGAGTGCTTACAATATACCATAAATTTGTAGTCTTTAAAATTAAATAATAAAATATTATATGTATAAACCATATTATACCCTTAATAACAAATATTTGCTGACTTCAATGTAATAAACATTTATTCAGTACTTACAGAGTACAGGGCACAATATTGGATGATATATAGAATACAAAATGCTTAAGACCATACCTTTAAGAAACTCAAAATCTTTAGGGTACATAGAAAGATGCACAGATAACTTTTCTACAAAACAGAAAATTTGAAGTTCCACAGTAGAGAAATAGAAAAAGTACTGTGGGACATAGGAAAAAGAGAAAGTAGTTTGGAACCGGAGGCTCAAAGCCGACTTCTTGGAAGAGATGGGAGTTGGGTAGTTCCTAAAGAATGGGAAGGATTTGCACATATAGAGATGACAGGACAGAGCCTTCTTAGATGGAGACAGAAATGTCAAGAAAGTAATAGAAATGGGAGATGAGAGGACATGTGTTGTAAGTAGCTAGCTGTTTATAAGTAAGTAGCTAGTTTATCTAGAGAAGTGTTTTCCAAATATGAATCAAGGCTAATTTGGGGGTCATGAGATTGGTACAGTCATGAACAACTTTTTAAGGCAATATAATAGACTAGAAACTATCAGATGCATTGCATTTAGTAAAGGTAAATGTTATTTTGGGAAATTTTATATACAAATATATATACAGGTATCTACGTGTATAGTAGGTCTTACTGTGAAACATATTTATTGTGGGTCATGGCCAAAATACTGAAACAGACTGGTCTATACCAGGGATTGGGAAACTTTTTCTGTAAAGGGCCAGGTAGTAAATATTTTAGACTTTGTGAGCTTAGAGGCTATGTATGGTCTCTTCCAGAATTACTCAACTGAATAACCACAGCACAAAAGCAGCCATAGACAGTACATACATGAGTATGGTTGTGTGCCAATAAAAATTTACTTACAAAAATAGGCCTAAGTCCAAATTTGGCCCATGGGCTGAAGTTTACTAACCTCTGACATACAGGGTAGGATGGAGAAGGGAGTATCAAGAAACAGTTTCTTCCAATCAAGAAATTGGAAATACGCTTGGCGAGGGGCTCACTTCAGAAGCCCTTTGCCTGCCTAGCTTAGATGTGAGTGTGCTCAGTTCCCCAGTTGTGTCTGACTCTTTTGCGACCCCATGGACTATAGCCCACTAGGCTCCTCTGTCCATGGGATTTCCCAGGCAAGACTACTGGAGTGGGTTGCCATTTCCTTCTCCAGGGGATCTAGGAATCCATCCATCGTCTGCAGGGGAGGAGGGACATCTGTCTGCAGCCACTCTCCAGCAATCTTTGCTTTCAGATTGTTATGCTAGTTGCAGCATGTAGGCTGGACTAGAAAGGACATTTTAAAAGTCTCTCACTGTTCTGTTTGCCCGTCCTTCTCCTTTCAAAGAGCGCAACAGATTTTTCAATGTGTAGAACCCAGCCCCATCATTCTTCACGTTCGGATGACATTAGCCTGATTTGACAGATGAAGCTCCTGAACCCATGAAGCAGTTAAGTGACTCACCCAGGGCCTCAGAGCCTGGAAAAGGCCTCTACTTGAATTAAATGACAGTTGAACTAA